TTTTTTTTTTTTTTTAATTTCGGAAGCACTATGGCAAAACTGCTGATTTTTACTTGAGAGGGAGAAAGTTATTTTGGTCCTTTCAGGAGTAGATTGCCTTTTAACCCCTTATGAAACTCACATAGGCAGGGGCTCCCCTCATGCCTTCCTCCTTTAATCCGAAAGAAATAAAGGAGGATAAAAAAACAAATCAAGAAATATGTCAAATAGCACAAAACAAGAGGAAAAACAGCAAATACAGCAATAATTAATATAAAATAATACAATAACATAAATTAATGTTCTTCAGTTAAAAAACCAATATTGAGGGGTGCCTGGGTGGCTCAGTCGGTTAAGCATTCAACTTCACCTCAGGTCATAATCTCATCGTTCATGAGTTCTAGCCACCCATCAGGCTTTGTGTCTCCCCTCTCCCTGGCTCACTACTCTCTCTCTCTCAAAAATAAATAGACATTAACAAATTTTAAGAAAATGGTATGTTGGACTTTTTCAAATACTATTTCCACATCCATTGACATAATCTTGTGTTTTTTATCCTTCACTCTATTAATATCATGCACTCTGATGATCAGTTTTGAAATGTTAAAATAACTGCCTTATTTGCATAATTTTTTTATATGGATGGATTTGGTTTGCTAGTATTTTTCTCTTTTCTTTAAAATTTTTATTTACTCTCTGATGCTCTCCCTTTCTTTTATTTAAATTTAAATTCAAGTTAGTTAACATATAGTGTTGTAGTAGTCTCAAGAGTAGAATTTAGTGATTCATCTCTTACAGATGACACCCAGTGCTCATCCCAACAAGTGTCGTCCTTAATTTCCATCACCGATTAGCCCACTCCCACCCCACCCCCTTCCAGGAAACCTCAGTTTGTTCTCTGTATTTAAGAGTCTCTTATGATTTTCCTTCCTCTATGTTTTTATCTTATTTTATCTTTCCTTTCCTTCCCCTACGTTCATCTGTTTTATTTCTTAAATTCCACTTATGAGTGAAATCCTATGATATTTGTCTTTCTCTGACTTACTTATTACTTACCATAATAAACTCTAATTTCACCCACATTGTTGCAAAGGGCAAGATTTTATTCTTTTTGATCGCTGAGTAATATTCCATTGTGTATATATACATCTTTATCCATTCAGTAGTCAGTGAACATTTGGTCTCTTTCCATATTTGGCTATTTTTGATAGTACTGCTGTAAACACTGGGGTGCATATGCCCCTTAGAGTCAGAATTTTTTAACCTTTGGATAAATACCTAGTAGTGTAATTGCTGGGGTATACGGTAGTTCTATTTTTAATTTTTTGAGGAACCTCCATA